CTGCAGGAAGCAGATATGCTGAAATCTCCAAAGCCATACCTTTTTTTCCATGAGGGAGTGCAAAAGTCGGTTTTCCAAATGCCTAGAAACACCTGAAGCAACGCTGCAGGGCTTCCACTGGCAGTGGAGGAGCCAACTGGCACCAGCCCATACCTCCATCTCCAGGTCTTGGCTGCTGGGGTGCCATGTAGGGCCTGTGCGACTGCACAGGCATCTAGGTGACTTCCATGAATTAATGAAATCATAGTACTGTTTGTGCCCTGTTAGAAGGGGGAAGGACTGTTTGTGGGCTAATTTTGATTGATGATTTGAAAACAGATGGTGCTAGCAGAGTTGTACATGATGCAGTACCACAGGTTTTGAAGAACTCACATTTCATACAGATGCAGGTCCTGATCATCTAAAGGTTTATGTATAGTCATAATCCATGAGTGTAATTAGCTGATTTGCTTTGTTCAAGGTGTTCAGGTACTTAAAATGAAACACTGGTGTGTGAGTCTGAAACAGCACCACAAGGGTTTTATTAGCTCTCAGTACTTGAAACTGATGTATTGGCTGGCATTTCATTTTCTTCTGTAATTGTGCTATACAGCCTTTTTTATGATTGCATACCGTTACAAGCAGAAATATTTACAGAAGGTGCAGGACCAAGTGCCAGGCTCTACGGCAGCGTTGTGTGCAGCACTGCGATATTGAGGCAATTATGATGTCCGTTGGTCAAAGTGATGGTCACAGTCTTGATTCATCAGGGATGGGGGAAGCTCACAAACATAAAGTTCAATGGGTTAATGTGCATTCAGGTTCAGGTGGGAACTCCCAGGTACCTCCCCTGGGGCGAGAGGGGTAGTTTTACACTGTTTGATGTAACACTGGATCACGTCCAGTCCTCTGGTGGAAGGCCCCAGAAATTAGTCTGGGGGCACTTTTGAGGGTTTTTGATTTGCGACACTTTCTAAGGCATGGCTGATGTTTCTCACACCAGAGCCCATTTTGCCCCATCAGCAGGGATGAATACCTCCAGGCCTACATGTGAATGTCCACTACCTCCTTGGGAGCAGGGCAGAGGGGTTTATGCCTGAGCCAGTTGTGTAAGGGAGGACATTGACATGGCAGGACTAAAGTGGGACACCTGCAGTGTCCCACTACAGATCCCACATCCATAACACTCATCAGACTCCTCTGTGCCCTTGCCACAGGTCTTACCTGTGGTCAGAATGGTCACTGAGCTGGGCTCTGTGTGTGGCTCATTCATTTGGCTGTCATTAGCCTTCCAGGAGAAAAGAACTGTTCTTACCCAAAAGCATGCAAGCTCATTACTGTTCATGGTGCCCTCCACATTGGTCTCCTTTGATCAGAGAAGTAAATTTAGACTTGAGAGAAAAACTCGAGGCTCAGCGGGCTGCCCCCAGTCCACCTCTCTCTGCCTTTAAAATGCTGTTGAAAACACTTTTAGCAAAGATGTTTCCCACTTATGGGGTATAATTATGAGCTATGTTCCTTTACAACCAAGATCTTTGATCCTAACAGAATTCAGTCTTTTAGTTTAACAGACTTTTAATTATTTGACTCATTTTTATCTCTGCAGTCCTTTGAGTCCTACCTCCACTGGGAGGTAACGTGCTGACTAAACACATTTAGTGTTATCTTACAGATAAGACTGAAAATCCTTGCAGTAGAACTTGGATCTCAGATAAACTCTCTGCAAGGTGAGATTTATTGTGGCCCCAGTGGTTCTCCAGTGTGGTAGGGAGGGATTTGGCAGCACAGTGGAGATGCCCATCCTGATGTGAACTCCCACAGCATGGTAGTTTATTGAGAAAGTTGTGAAGTTGTGGTGTACCAGCGCATTGCCAGAGCTACTGATCAGAGGTTGGGCCACAATTTGTTGGGCTGTTTCAAATGGATTTTGCTGGCAATGTGTTATGTCCTCTAAGCCCTAATGATTTGCTTTGGTGGCTTTGTCCCACCTTAGCTTTTCTTAACAGTAAAATAAGGTTCTAACAGATAGCTGTATGACTAACAGAAGGAGCAGGTTTTCTTCTGTGAGTGTGCAACTCTTTGAAGGTGCTGGCCTTAAAATTGGAAATCCTGGTATTGTATAGCTTCCTCAGGCTATGCAGATTTCTGTTTAGTCAAACAGGCTTCTGTGCAGTGCAGGCATCTTGGCAAAACAGCACCAGATGCTTTTTCTAGGATCATCTTGTAAAGGGATGCATAAATCACCTGTTTACAAGTCCTCAAAGGAATAGTATTGATTTGGCATAAATGGTTGTATATGGTAATAAATAACAATCTAATGGTCACAGGGATGACTTCCAATGTTGTTTTAAGTTAATGTGAACACAGGTTTCAGCTGTTATGTCTGCACTCTGAAAGAACAGACCTTGATCCCATAATGAGGTGTGTGCAGCAGTCTGCTTGTTTATGCTATGTGTGTCTTTGCTACTCTGCAAGTCATGGTCACTTCCAGTAAGTTTTTCTTGCATGGAAAGTGGGGGGAAGTCTCAATGAAGTTATGGTGGAAAATCCATGTCTGTTAAGTGAGTAATGTTTTTGCATTGCAGTTAAAATATTTGTTAGGGAAGATATTTGGACTCAAAAATGTGAAGTCTGTAACTCAGGACATTTAAAAGACAGCAGCTAAAGCCAAACATGTAGAAAACAAAAATTCAAAATGCATAGGATGTTTGGAAATTCCTCACAGCTCTCAAACAGGCAAGGTTTCTTTAGAGCTCAGGATTTTTTATGTGGGTCTTTTGTGAGCCTGAGCATTTTCAGAGACCTGCCCTGCAGGTCTTTCAGGAGAAGCACCAATAATGTTGAAAGCTTACTTCAAAAGGCAAAATTCTCAAAGGTTTTTTATGTGGCACTTGGTTTCATTTTTTAACCCGTAGCTGCTAATTTTTCATAAACCATAGGTAAGCCATACTCCCTTTTCTTAGTCTTATTACTAGAGTCCAGCTAGGAGTCTTCAATTTGCTTTTGAAACATTAAGCTAGGAGGAAGCCATTCTAAAGCAAGACTTGGCACATGTACAGATGAGCCAAAAGCATCAGCCTTTTTCCAGGAGCAAGACTGCAGCTGGAACTCAGCACCTCTGTGATCTTGCAGCAAAAGAGCCAAAAGGCTCTTGTGGACAAGGATCTGAGGGTCAGTCTGGAGCTAGGAACCTCAGGGCATCTTCTGTAATAGACAGCACCTTCCTGGATTATTGCCTTGTGATTTTTCCTGCAAGTCACAAGCAGTTGGGTAAAACACCATCCCTCCTCAAGGTGCCTGTATCTTACGTGCTGGAGGGCAGTGTTGCAGTGAAAACCAGTGCAGCCTGTGGGCTACATTCCCTGTGCAGGAAGGGTTCAGGTGGCAACACACTCCACATGCTGCCCTGCTACCTCCTGTCTCTGCTGTGCCCTGGTGTGTGCCATTGCAGGTTGGCATGCAGTGAGATGGAGAGGGGCCTCCATCTTCACTGTGTTTCTGCACTGTTCTGTCATGTGGAATTGCTTCCAAATCTCATCCTCTGATAGTTTTATGTCATTTAGTTTTCTTAAGATATTGCTCATCAGACTCCAGGTTGCAAAGCAGTTAGATGGAACAACCACCTGTACCTGTTACTGAGCAGCCCTTACATTTCAAGGGCTCATTAAGGGCAAAATCTAGTGCTGTTCAGTTAGATATGGGTACTGTACTTAACTGCAGGACGGCGTTCATCTCTCATACAGAGCTGGAAGGCCAGCAATCCATCTGCCACAGTCACTCTTTCTCCCTGAATAGCTTCGGTATAGAATTCTTCAGTTCATTGGGCCTTTCAAATGAATGAAGAAATTGGCCATCCATGCTACATTAAACCCTGCTTGGAATATTTACAGATTTTTATAAACAAATACTTTAGTTTATACTAAACCTGGGGTTTAGGAGTATCCTTTGCCATTCTAACTCTTTACCAGTTAGAATCTTGATGGTAATTATTTATGTGGAAAGCAGAAAGGCATTGAAGACTTCAGAGAGAGAGACTTCAGGCATAAGAGGCTGTTGGGAGCTCCAACTTTGCTTGTCTGATTTAATTGTAGTTAACTACTCAGTATAACTTAGCTAGGGATGAAAAGTCCCAGAGAAATCTGGAGGTAACAGGAGGGTCACAAAGTAGGAGTGGGCTGTGGTTGCTTGGAGGACATGAAAAAGCAGACATGCAAGACCAATGAACATAGAGTCTGGTATAGCAAGGATGGCAACTGGGCAAAGCCAAGCTTCTTCCTGACACAGCATATACCACTTCAGCTTTTTCAGAAGAGCTCCAGCTCTTAAGAAGCCTGAGAACAAATAAACCTAATTCTGGCACTTCCTTCACCCATGCTAGAAAGCTATACTGTGCTGTGGTGACTAGCAAGTACAGTGCAAAAAATATCTTTTGTAGGGCAGCTTTATTTAACTTTTGAAAAAATAAGGTCAGAAATTTAGGGCAATTAGTGTGAGCAAAGCTCGGCAGGTTCACATCTCCCTTATGCAACCAGATCTCTAATTACTATCTGCATATTTTAAACACTTTATACAGTCCTTTGAAATACAGCTTTTTTCTAACTACAATCTTGTATGCAGTTTCTCATTTTTTTAACAGTTGAGAGCTGCATGTGTTTTCTGTCTTAATTTGTAATTCTCTTCCCATTTCATCTTCAGTAAAACATCTGAGTAAATTTTCCTGTGTATTTACAATTGCATTTGGAATTATGGGTTATAACTTCAGTAAGTTGCATGGTTAGGAAACTGTAATGAACTTTTTAATTATATAGATTGAGCACTAAACTTCACATATATGTTTCATGGGTAGGCAGTTTATTACATTTGTAGATCTGCTTTGTCTAAGTCTGTGTTTTATTCTTTGAGAGCTGAGGCACACACCTGTTAAATTGAAGTAGGACTTGCTGTTTTGGAGATACTACTGATTCTACTGCCATAGTTTGTTTTGCTTGTTTCTAATATGTCAGGTTTTTTTGTTTACACAGAGACTTTGCTTATGTGGCAAGAGACAAAGACACGAGAATTCTAAAATGTCATGTGTTTCGATGTGACACACCTGCAAAAGCCATCGCTACCAGTTTACATGAAATCTGCTCAAAGGCAAGTGGATTTAAAATCAGCTGCATTCGTCTGTTTAGAGATCCCTGAGCCTTATACATACATGTAATCAGCAGTTGTATGCAGTGTTAGTTTAGTTTATATCACTGGCAACAAGAATGATGTAGAGAATTTGTAAAGGAAAGGATGCAAACGGATAGGAATTATGGGAGAGTGAGCATTTAGATTTGAGAAAGATGGTATGTGCTTTTGATTTGACAAGTGTGTATAGCGACTGAAGGTTTTCTTGAGTAAGAAAGAAGCTGCAGGTTCAAAATGGAAAAAGAACACAGAGCTTCAATGAATAATAAACTGTGATCTTAAACTCCATAAATAAATCAGACCTTGCTTGAATGGTGTTATTCAATGGTATTATCCTGCAGGAGAGACAGAAAATAGTTGCTAAGTATATTTAAAAAAAATCATGGAGAAGAGGGGGTGTAAGCTACTGTGGTTAGGAATAGTAAAGAATCCTAGCCCCTGCTGATCATAGTGTTGTCTGTAATACTGGAGAGGACTGTATTTTTTGATCATTTTACCTTATAGATTTGACACCATTTCCTGGTTATTAATTTTGATTTTCTTGGATGATCTGTTTATGAGTGTCCTCTGTACACTCATTTCATGCAGCAATAGCAAGGCAGCACATTCTTTACAGCAAGCAGTCTGACTGAAATACTTTTTAAAGAGGAAGTTAAACCAATCTACTTGAAGCTCCTCTTTTACTCTTTTATTGAGCTGTGGTGGATTTGCAGCTGCATCCCCCTTTTTGAAAATACTATGCTTCTAATTTTGGTTTTCATTAAAATATGGCAGTTTGCACCACAGGAAGAGTGGGCTGTGGGGACTAATAACTTTATCAGTTATCTCTGTGTAACTTGTCCCTCCTCATAAGTCACAGCTCTTCTAGAAAAGCTATTTAGAAACCGTTCAAGTTCTGAAATTCTGCTGTATGCCTGTCATTTGCTTTTTACATTTTGTCTTCATGTTAGTGAGTGGAATCAGTGACGCCAAACCCTCCTCTATAGTCAGTTGTATAGTCTAAAAAATTTTCATTTTTGCAACACCACAGATGTGATTCTGAACTTGTGATATCTCATGCGAGCAAGGTGAGCATTTGCACAGTGTGCATTACTGTAGCCCTCTGGGCAGCACAGTTATGCCTGAGGCAGAAGGTAGCCCAGCAACTGTGCAAAGTCTGGCACGTTTGTCCTGGTTCAGGTGCCAGAGGGAGTAGCAGTAGCAGCACTCAGGTAGCTGCTTGGTTTGGCCAAGGAGCTGCAGGCTGTGCTTGGTGAAGTTTAACACCAGGGACTGCAGCAGTGGCTGACTGGAGAAGCCTAGACCTATTGTGTTCTTCCTAGTTCTTCTCCAATTCTCCAATTCACACAGGTGTTTCCAGCAAGTCAAGCAGGAAAAAACATGCTACCCAGGCCCTAGCACAGCTGCTTTTATCCAGTAAGGTCAACATGAAGTAAATACTGTGGTAGCTATACGCAGGGATATCAGAAAGGGAGCAGAGCTGTCACACAAGTAACTACGACATGAAACTTCTGACATCAATTTTGTATAAGAGAACAACAAGAGAACAACTAGACATTTAAGACTATAGCTAATGGAACAGATGTAGCATAAAGAAGCAGATAGCAATGGTTCATATATGAGCTTTGGGAAACCTCTGTTAGCTTCCCTGGATACCTTCTCTGTCATAACCATCCAAATGGTTATTTTGAAGTAGGTTTTTTTTTTCCTCTTTTGTTACTATTAAATATGTTGGGGGAAGAACAGGTTGTATTTTGCATGGGATTTTTAATTCCAGAATAAACATAAAAATGGAGGAAAAAATCATATACAGCAGAAGATAGTTCAGAGAGAAACATAAATAATGAACACTCTTCTCTGTGTGTTAAATATTTATATTTCTTGCTATATTACTCCTCCTCCTATCAGCTGCAATTCTACTGTTCAGAAAAATGGCTAGAGTTTTTTTCCTCCTCCATCTATCTTTCATCTAGGCTTGTACACCACTTAAGTTCTTTATGTAGTAAAGGAATGCTGAATAAAGTGGAGGAAAATTAAAGTTGTTATTTAAAAAGAATAACCTGCTTAGTCATGTGGCTTCTGACTTACTTCAGATTTCAGAAACTAGGATTGTAATAGGAGTAAATTTGTAGTTGTTGCTGTACTTTTTTTTTAAAATGCTGTATTATCACTGTCTTCTTCAGATTATGGCTGAACGGAAGAATGCTAAAGCCATGGCTTGCAGCTCATTGCAAGACAGGACAAATGTCACTCTTGATGTTCCTCTGCAAGGTACTGTGTTGCAGCTAATATCCTCAGGATGGTCCTGTTTTAGATGAGTTTTGTTTCTGATGCAGCTTTGGATGAAAATGCAGCATATTGATTGGAGAGCAAGCCTGTCTTTTAATTAATGTATCTGACTGTAACCTGTTCCTGTTTTACTTTAAATATTTTTACTTGTTATGTTGACAGTAATGAACCTCTACTCAATTATGTCAACTTGTGCATTTCCTCTTTTATTTTGAAGTGCAAGTGTTGCAAATCCAGTCTTACTTTTTTGGGGATATTTGGACATAATGTCCTTTCAAACCAAAATACCTCCTGACTTGAGACTGCACCAGTTGGCCAAATTTTCCTGTTACAACCTGCCCCAGAAGGCAAGGGTAACCCAGATTCTTTTTAAAAGGTCCCTTGGGGTGGATTAGAGTGAAACAACACTCTAAATATAAATATGTTTGTAAATATATATATGTAGGGTTTATTTTGGTTGCAAAGGAAAACATGTATGTAGCCATGTTGATTGGTATTATATACAGAACTATAGCAATATAAAAGCATAAAAATAACACTTAAAATGTATAAGGAAAGGTAAGAGAAAGAAAGGATAAAAGTAGAAAGATGTATAGTCACCACCTGTTGGATGCAGCGATGAGAGTTGGTAGTTGCAATTTCAGTGTCTGTTGGCTGAAGTGACAGTCACAGTCTTGTGGAAATGATGGTCTTGATTCCGTGGGGGCAGCCCACAAAACTCAAAGATTTCATGAGTTATGTACTCTCAGGGTTCAGGGGGAAACGCTTAATACTGTCTGTGGACTGGGGAGTTTTACACTTGATGATGTAAAACTTTGTGTTAGCTTTACAGGACATTATATGCTTCTAGATCCACCAATTTGTAATGAATATCTTACTTCTAATCCCTACATCAGCTTGTGTAATGGTCTGTGTAATGTGTAGTGTTCGGACAGTAGTATTGATTACTTGGAGACTGTATTTAGCATATTAGCAAGGATGGTATTAAAAGCAGATTCCAGATTTTACATAGTTATTTTAGTGAAACTTAGGTCTATACGTCTCAAAAACCCATTCATCTATGTTTTCTGGTTTTTAATATGCCAGCAATATAATGTGACCTTATTCTTAACGTCCACCAAACATCAGCTGATGAAAATTTATTCCTAATTCCTTTAGAAATTATTGAGGCTTGCTCTTGTTAGAAGAAGTAAAAATCTGTTTTAATCGATCAATACCTTCAGAGTGCAATTACTGGGTAAACTGTTCTATGTTATTGATGAAATAAAAGTGGTTTTTCCTGCTGTGAATGCTGATTAATAGAAATTGAGTTTTGTTCCCATGCAGTAGATTTCCCAACACCAAAGACAGAACTGGTACAGAAGTTCCACGTCCAGTACCTGGGCATGCTACCTGTAGCTAAACCTGTGGGTATGTAACACTTAAGTGTCTTCCAAAGTGCCTTGCATAAGCTCTGAAAGCTGGACTCTGGCTAGCCTAGGGTAAATGCATGGTTTTTGAAGGGTACCAACTCTTGTGTTTCACCCATACGAATCAGGCACGAAGACATCAAATATTCAGGGCATCCTATGAACATGTGTTTTGCAGCCAGGGTATTTTGGGAGCTGCCAAGAAGGTGAAGTTTTTTTCTACATCTTCCTCTGAATATAAGCTCTGCTACTAATGAGAAGGGCCCTAGAGATCTGAAACGGTGCAGCAGCTAAACAGGATGCTGTCCTGGTTTTTATAAGCCAGAGACACCTGTTTTGGTTTTGCAGATGAAGAAATACAACTTCACAATACTTCCTTCCATTATCAAAATAATTTTAATGAGGAGCCCAGAACAATCTGTTTTCTGTACTACAATGTAAAGATAAAAAGTTTTGTTATTGTTTACATATTTTATTTTTCATTATTGCATTTTCTTCTCTTTTAGGAATGGATACTCTGAATAGTGCCATTGAGAGTCTTATGGCTTCCTCTAGCAAAGATGACTGGATGGCAGTTACCATGAATGTTGCTGATGCTACTGTCACAGTAATCAATGAAAGAGTAAGGCAGACTGTCTTATTTAAAACACATTTAACATGAGTGTTGAAAACCAGGAACACAGAAACGTTAGTAGAGTTAATTTACACTGGAATTCATTTGTTTATTTTGCATTTTGTTTCTTTCCAGAATCTGCAGAGGCTCTTACTGCTTGTATCAGCTTCAGCTTTCTTTACCATTCCAAGCATGTTCTCAGAAATAAAAAGTATTCATTAGATACTTAAATTCAGTTTCTAGGAATTTGGAGCCTAAAATGTTGTAGGTTAAGCCCCAAGTAACAATCCTAAATTCCAAACTATATTTACTTTATTCTTGGTATGGAAACCAAGAGTAATATTTAAATCTGTGTTACAGAGGAAAATGTAGAGCATTTTCCATAGAGATTAATACAGTGAAACTTTTGAAGAAAGTCTTTTATATATGTCTTTTGATGAGATACTAAACCAGCATCTCTATAGCATAGCAATGATAGGGGAGCATATTTTGGAGTCATTATAGGCATGTTGTTTTGTTTCTTCACAAAACGAGCAGTTTGTGAAATGTACAACATGCTCTGTGCTAACATTCAAAGCCTTGGTTTTCCAGTGACATCCTAGAAGGAGATCCAGCCCAGGCCTGAGCACGCTGGGCATATGCAGATAAATCAGGAATTACAATACTATTTCAGCATATCCTCCTATTTAATCAAAACTGGAAGTTCCACAGAATATCCAAGAGTAATGGTCATTTGATTCATTACCAGAATGAAGAGGAAGTCATGGTGGAGTGTCGTGTGCGGTTCCTGTCCTTCATGGGAGTAGGCAAAGACATTCACACATTCGCCTTCATTATGGATACAGGAAACCAGCATTTTGAGTGCCACGTTTTTTGGTGTGAACCAAATGCAGGCAACGTATCAGAAGCTGTTCAGGCTGCTTGTATGGTAAGTGACCTTCTTCAAAGGCATCTAATAGCACTTAGATTTTTCACTGTCTCCATAAATAATCATCTTTCCAAATTCGCAATTATATTAATTTCAAGGCAGAAAAAGAATGAACAGATAAAAATAGGAATTGGTGTTATGATATATTTAATTAATTAAAATCCAAACATTTAAAGTTTGAAATGCCAGTTTAGTGAATAATGCCCCTTTAATCATCCTCCTTACCTTTGCAATGTCTCTGTAAGTTAGAAATCTTTTCTTTCACTACACTATTGTTATACAATCCAATGGCAATATAGTGAAAATAATCCTTGTTCCAAAGCAGCTGAACCCAGAAAACTTATTTTTCAGTTTTCAAATGGCTGTTTATATGATGTAGTATCTGTTGTGTGCTAATGAAGTTTCTGCCCACACACTGACAGACCAATGTCCCGTTAACTTGAGCTACGCTTTCTGTCACAGCCAAAACAGAGGTTTGGCTATATTTAATGAGAAAGTACTAAGAGTGTATTTAAAATGCTCTGTGAAATTATTGGATAAAGTATTGATTGCGGAATGGTTTTGCTTTGTTGCAGTTACGGTATCAGAAGTGCTTAGTAGCCAGACCTCCTTCACAGAAAGTTCGACCGCCCCCACCTCCTGCAGACTCGGTGACTAGAAGAGTTACAACTAACGTAAAAAGAGGAGTGTTGTCTCTCATTGACACTTTGAAACAGAAACGTCCGGTCACTGAGATGCCATAGCTGCGCAAGAGGGAAGATTCTTCTAACATTTAACTGAAGATAACAGTAGCTACACTAAGGAAAATGAACTGACGATATCTGGCCTTCCATTTCAATTGCTGATGCTTTGTCTTCAGAGAATTTACCCCTATCAAAACAATATTAGACAAGCATGTTCTCTCGTTCTTGCCACCATCGTCTGATATGAAAAGAAGCATGAATAATTTTTTTGCTGTCAGTGAGTTACATCATGGGCAATGGAAGGTTTGTTTGATTGTAAATACATGAACATTACCTAAACTCACACAAAAAAAGAATATGGCCATGTCCCTCCCAGTGAACTCATGCTAAAGTCCGTGGAGTGAATGATGCCTGAGTTAAAATTTCACCTTCTTGAGCTGGATTTGTCACAAACCAATCTTAAATCCTACAGCACTTTGCTGTGTTTTCAACACTGGAATGGGTACCAAGTATTAGCTACCATTGAATTACTGTAGATTAAATAACAAGTTTTGTTTTTTACAGAACTACACCTGTTAGTTTTAAATTGTTTGTCAGCGTTGGTCTAGCAACCACTTTAACATCTCCCTGACATGCTTTGGAATCATGGTGTAATTATTTCATCTTTTGGTTACACACTGTGGTCTTAGAGAAGAATCGTGTTTAAAACCAAATCAATGATGAAAAATCCAGAAATGGTTTTAGTAATTGAGTTGCAGGGTGATCAACTGAAGCTTTTCAGCTTTAAACATACAAATGAAACTGTTGGCTGTTAAATTTATTCTCCTAAATCTGTCATTTATTCATCAGAAATACCATTTGTTTCATGCAGGGCTCAAAACAATCAGGACTAAGTAAGAAATAATGATTTTATTGTCTTAAAATTGTTACAGAGGCTAAACTATTCCATACTTTTTCCATTCAAGTGTTTGATGAAATGTTCAATTCCGTGTCTCGTTGCACAATTCCCCCTTCCCCTAGAGGTTGCTGCTGAATACTTAGCATGCCAGAAAAAGAACAATTATGTTTCTTGTTATTTACAAAATTCCATGAAATTATTTTACTTTTAATGCTCTTGTAACAAAATTAGAAGAGAGTTGTTTTCTGACAGGGTAGTGCTTCAGGTGATACAATGTTATTTCAATGCTTTTGCTCCAAAGGCTTCATCTGATTGCTTTCATTGACACACCTGCAGACCCTCACAAATCAGCCCAGCATTGCCCTCAAAATTGCACCTCAGGCTAGTTTTGAAATGCAGTTATGCATCTTCAGTCTTTCCCTTGGCCATCTTCTGTCTAGACCTGCAGATTGGTACACACTTTGGACATGGAACATTAAAAGTATTTTAAAAGTATTTTTAACTAATGTTAAAAATGTTTTGCCTCCATTTATAGATAAGTTCCAAACCTTAAGTGTCTCCCAAGTCTGCAAATCTGGTCATACTGCAAAGATAAAGGAACATTGTCAATGTTATTCTTACAATAACTCCTTTTTATTTTACTATGCAAGAGACTGTTACAAACAAACTATTTTCTTTTTTATTTCCTTGTTTAAAGAAATTAGTGACAACACCTGGGCAAAGTAACTTAGGAACACAACAGGAAAAGAATGACGATTCCAGAAATTTCTGCATTGAAAAATGCTGAAATATCATTAAACTAAACTCAGCATGATGTATGAGCAAATGTCAGGTGAAGGCTAGCTATGCAACTATGGTAATTATATTTAGCTCTCTAGAATACGCTCTGAAGAGCTCATCCTCCACCCATCTGAGATCTCTTCATGACAGAGATTCTGCACCTCAGGCACTGAAGCAATTGTTTCCCCTCTCAAGGCTCACATTCTTGCCATATCCTTTGCACCAGCTCTATTGCTTGTACAGCTGGAAGAGAAGCTGCTTGTGCTGAGTGTGCAGGGAGAGCTGCAGGTGAGGGGGTGCAAACAACTCCCCTCCTCCTAAGCAGTACCAGTGGTTTAACCGAGTACAAAGCCAGATCACAAAGCATGGGCATGGCAGCTTGCACACCTGCTTCTATAGTTTCTAATATTGATCCCAGTCACCTCTGCTAGGAGCAGTATAAAAACTCACTTCCTATCAGAGAACCACAGAACTATTTGGGTTGGAAGAGACCTTAAAGATCATCTGCTTCCAACCCCCCTGCCATAGGCAAGGACACTTTCCACTAGACTGGGTTGCTGAGCCCCATCCATCCTGGCCTTGAACACTTCCAGGGATGACTGCCCTTAAAATGTGGTGGCTAACACTGTACCTTTAGGTATATTTGTGAAGTTAAGAGATAAAAGTTTCCTTTTTTGGCATTGTGCCAGTGATTCAAGTTTTATTTTAAATTACTTTACAGTGTGTTTTTAAAGTTCCAGCTGGGAACAGCGTGATTTGGGATTTGCAACTGTTGTACAACAGTGAAATAATTTTAAGCAGTATAATTAAATTTCATCATTGCACCTCTACAGTGCTGATTCTCCCCAGGAAAGATCCAGACTCTAACTAAACCAACACTTAGTGAGCAGCAGTGTGAAGTTCTGCACCAGTGTTGTCAAGGCTATGAACATCTGGTTAGTTTTCAGTAGCAATATGTGCAATTGCAGGAAGGGCTGAGAAGACAGAAGGGTATTTGAAAAGCTGTACTTCACTCACCAATGTTTGTTTTAAGAGGTTTGTGTCTGTTAACAAAATGCTGTTGATTTTGCAAGTATTTAAGTAGTGTGCTTAATGGTCTGACTATATGTGGCCTTTTTGCTTCAGTAGATCTCCTTATTCTCCAAAAGATTTAATATGCATCCAGGTGTTTGCAGAGTTGGAGCCTAATATTGCAAAGCCCATTATCTTTTGTTAAACAGTATATTCAGATGCTCTTTTTACCATGGCCAAAAAAGTATGTATGGGGTGTGTGTGTTTGAGCAACTGCCACTGTTCTAGTTGATGTTATAGCGACCCTTCAGTTATCTATGCATTTTTTATAATACCTAGTGATTCTGTAGACTGGCAGCCATGTTCACTATGCCTTGTATGTCTGATGCCATATTCTAACTTAACCTGTTAAATACAGCTTAAAATATTTTTATTTTATTTATTCTATTTTTACTGAAATATCCTGCATTATTATGTTGATGTATTGTCTTTACCGGATGTGCTCTTGTAACATTCTCCACTCTGTATACTATAGGTTGCCTAAAAAAGGCAGGCTTTGTAATTATTTGTAGTCACATTTTTATTGAAGTCTGTAGAAAAATCATGTAAAGCAAAGCTAATTTCTTCATTTTTTTCAATGCAAGTACTAAGTTAGAGGTAAGTATAATGTGTCAGTCAGTCATGTCATTAACACACTCCCTTGCAGAAGCAAGGAAATTTATTTTCAGTCAATGACTAAAAGATAAAAGCCTTTCTTTTGAAATCTGCAGTGCTGGCTGAAGGTTTTATTTAAGCCACTTACTGTTTCATTTGAAGGGGAGCAAGGGGGGGCTGTGAGAGATGTAAGGCCACAGAGGCCACCTACAGGGTGGTTAAATGGGAATAACAAAAATTGCATGGAAGGGCATAGAATCCATTCACAGTAAAATGAGGTTTTAGTGATATACTTCCTGTGCAGAGTCACATGTACCTAGAGAAGTAATATGCCCTTTTGAGACAGAGGAACAAAAACTATGTAGTATCTAATAGCTTAATCAGTTCTGTGTCACTGAGAGTTCTACATCTCTTTCCTTTTAAATGTATCAAGCATTTCATAGATCATTTACCTAGAGAGCTAAACCTGTTAATATATCACCCATGGAAAAGAGAACTTTCTCATTTCAACAGTGAGTATGGCCTCAGCATTTCAGCATTACCATCGACCACATTACTCCTTTCTTGGGCAGGTTAATTAACACATTGCTACAACTTGTATGTACAGTCAGCCAAAGCAGGTTTGTTTAACAGCAGTAAGAAAGAAGGAAACACATCCACTGTTTATTAGGAGAGCCCAGTCTTACATAAAGCACCTGACTGACACAGAAAAGGACAATTTTCCCTGCTGTTGGCCACTTCTCCACATTTAAATGTAATCTGTTCTGAGAATAAATTTAGCTGCATAAAGTGATTGTCTCAACTGTTACTGCTCCATGAAACTGGGAAATTATTTTTTTGTTCCAAATGGTGGTTGAGGGACGGGAAAAACAAAGTGGTGGCTTTAGAGGCAATAACAGTACAATGGAGACTTTTGCATCTGGAAAGTTGAATCAACAGTTTCTAGTTGAAAATTACAAACTGGGACAACTGGATTACTGAAAAACAGTTACATAAGATACAGTTTTACTGTAAAAAGTCATTGAGTGTTAACTTAATGTACAAGCATCTACAAGCCATCTGGACTCAGTCCCAGATGTTTCCACCAAGTGAAGCTCAGTGCTTACAAAGCTGCTGACCTGCAGAGTCAAAATATTCACTCTCTGATATTCTTAGTAAGACATCAAGATTCTAACTGGTTTAGCTTCCATACTATTTCAAAAATGCAAATTCTGAAAGCAAGATGAGGCTGATTGTGGGACGTCATGACATATATTACATAAGTAGCCCAGAAATTCTGTCATCAGACACATACATGTATGTTCTTTTACAAGTAATTTTAACTTTAGTAATGAATGATACAGATCTTGATTTAAAAAAAATCATTCTCTAACCACAGAATCTCTTAAGTTTATTTTAACCATTTAACAACCATACAGGAAGAAAAAAAATTATATCTTCTTAGTGTCCATTCCCACTGTCCAACATGTAGAATCTCTCCTCCTCCTAGATGGTTTTGAAATAAGAATTTCTTTTTTTCCAGTTCTGCATATTGTGGTGCACAGGTCTAAATCTATCCTTACAGGTTTGCTCAAAAACAAGAGCAGAATTCACTATGTAAATGGAATGGGTAAGGACCATGGGTTGCTCACAGGGATATGCAGGAGGTGTGGGATGTCTTTACCTAGGAGAGCTGGCTCAGATTAAAATGCTAAAAGAAATTTTCAGTGATTCAGTGAAGCAACAATATCCAATGAACATGAGCCAGCTGTTTATGTTGCTGGTGTAGTATCATTCACATCCTTTCTTATAAAGGTACTGCTGATCCAGCGACACTGACTGGTGTGGGTGAAGAAAAAGTAGAGATGTTAAAACATTTTCTCTGGATCGATCTAAATCCAGACCCATATGTCAAATCAATTAAGATTCCATACTACATTCTGTTGCTGCTCATGGCAACACTCTTGCCAAGTATCTTAAATTGTTGCCTAGAGGAAAATTTCTCTTCTGGGCCACAGCTACCTTTTCCTTTCTATATTGCTGTGCTGTTTCATTTTTAGAACACTTCTAAACACAAATCAGATTATTGTTAAAAGTATCTTTGTGTCTCCCTTTATGCTCTGCTTAGATGATAAAACAACCGTAGCTATTTTCCAGTTATTTAACCTTTGCTGGGAAGAGGGAGCAGCTTAGAAGCCCATGACTGTTTCCAAAGACAAGCAAACTACTCTGTTCAGTCATTATTCAGCTGACTAGCAGTAACGTTTATAAACGTAAGTTGTTTTGACAGTGTCAGCTCTTTTTCTTTTAAGAAATTGATCAGGAGCAATTATGAGCTGTGACATAGTCTGACATGACATTATGATGACAGTTCAGCATTTCTAACATGAGAATATTTTATCCATTTTTCATTGTTAATATTTTGAAGTACACTTGAGTAGAAACCAAGGGAGTAAGTACGAGAAAGCCTGTGCATGGCCCTTAGTATACTTGGCCAGTTTCCTGTACAAAAGTTCACATCTAGTTTTAGAAATAAAGGTGAGCTAATGGGCTTACTGTGCAAAGCATCAAAGTGGACACTCGCAAAAATGGTACCTAGCACTTGTAAAGAAAAGTAGCCACTTAAAAAACGCAGTGTCACTTAAAAAAAATATCCATTTGAAATTGATTACTCTTACAGAACTAGGCCATGATGGGGGGTCAGATGTATGATTTAACTTGTCAATTTAAAGTGTATAGCAAGAGATTACAGGTTTTTGACCTCACTCCTCGCAACAGTCTATCAGCCTTAGGCAGCTGAGCTTCATTCACTTTAAAGTGTGATTAGTGGATTAAAAATTACTATATAACCTGGAGATTTCTACACATATAGCCATAACATAGCTCTTTCCCACACCAAGATTATCCTGCATAAATATATACTGTAATCAAAGAGTATTGATTAATATACAGAAATCTTTACCTTCTGTATAAAGGAAGAGCCAAGTTTGAAGGTTCCCATGGTCAGAGATGTTTAAGCACAGTTGGCTTGACCCTTTTAGACAGGGGTGGTGGAATTATTCAACCACTTGGACCCTGTGCTCCAGTCTGGCTATGAAAGTGATGGTGACTTGATACCCTGAGTTTGTTTCCTTGCAAACTTTCCTATGGTTTTATCACTCTGGAGGCAAAGTGATTTTCTCAGGCTTCAATATAACCCCGTTATGTCCTGCACGTGCCCTTCGAGGAGGTGTCTCTCAGACACCTTGCCCAGAGGGGACAAATGACATGTGCGCTTTGGCACTTCAGGCACAGCTGTGTGTGAATCAGGGTTGGCAGATTTCCTCAGCTGAACGTGGCTGTTTGTTTGGTGCACGTTCTTGTGTGTTACTGACTGCTTTAGACACAGGTATTTCACGGACTGCTTTAGGCACGGCTGTACTACTGACTGCTTTTGTTCTGAACGTTCTTCTGTTGTATGTCACTGACTGCTTTTGTTCTGGGCACATGCTTTTGTTGTGTTTTACTGACTGCTTTTGTTCTGCACACATGCTTTTGTGTGTCACTGACTGCTTTTGTTCTGCCCACATTCTTTTGTTGTGTGTCACTGACTGCTTTTGCTCTGCACACACGCTTTTGTTGTGTTTTACTGACTGGTTTTGTTCTGCACACATGCTTTTCTGTGTCACTGACTGCTTTTGTTCTGGGCACATGCTTTTGTTGTGTGTCACTGACTGCTTTAGACACAGGAACTTCAGCCTTAACATGAGCTCCAGTTTGATGGTGAAGGGGCTCTGCAGCCTTTGGCTTTCTATCAGTACCAGTAACATTACGTTTACGCCGTTTTACTTTCTGCTTTTTCTCTTCTTTTGGTTTTTCTTCAGAAATGCTATCTAGTAGTCCTTTTTCTGCAGCATAAGCCAAAATGTCTTTAGCAGGCACTTTTTTAGAAGAATATTTCTGAAAATTTCAAAGGAAACAACAATGAATCTAAGTCACAACACAGAGCTGCTCAGAATTTACTCCATGAGAAAACTGTGGCAGAGTCTAGCAGAAGGACTTAAGTCACATATGATAAATGTTAACCAAACTATTTATTCATGAAATTAAGAACATGACTGTTGTGTAAAGAGTATATCAGAGCATTTGCTTCTCAGAAACTTCGTTCTCTACCCCTCTTTGTTCTCTCCCCCAAAGAGGGGAAGCTCAGTTCCAGCCTCTGTACTGCATGTCTGACTTGTGGTTTAACCCCAACCAGCAACCAAGCTCGCTCATTCCCCCACCAGTAGGGTCAGGGAGACAATCAGAAGGGTAAAAGCCAGAAAACTCATGGGTTCATAAGACAGGGGTTACTTGGGAAGACAAGTGCCATCACTCCAAATGTCCCCAGTTCCTCCTTCTTCCCCCCACCTTATATACTGATCATGATGTCATATGGTATGGGATATCCCTTTGGTCAGTTGGGGTCACTGTCCCAGCTGTGTCTCCTCCCAGTTTCCCAAGGACCCCCAGCTTCCTCACCAGCGTGGCAGTATGAAGAGCAGAGGCAGCCTTGGCTCTGTGTAAGCACTGCTCAGCAATAACAGAAACATCTCTGTATTATCAACCCTGTGTTCAGCACAAATGCAAAGCACAGCCCCACACCAGCCACTGGGAAGAAAATTAACCCTACCCCAGCCCAAACCAGCACACTCCCACACTGACCTGCTCTGTGATGTGTCTGTAATAACATGCATATACATTACACCTGTGTGCGTGTGTGTATCAGAAGGAGTTACTAAAATACAGAAATGTTACCAGTAACATTAAACATGAATAATTTTCCCTATAATGAAAATCTTCCCTCATAATACATAAGTAAGGAATTCTCGGACTAGAGTAAGTAGGAACCAGCTCAGCATCCAAGCATATAGAGAAAAAATAGGGAAGAAACTACTTAGAACTAGCTAAGAAGGGGGTTTCTGTAAACCAGAAATTTCAGTTTAAATTGTAAGTATGTGTTTTCTGCTTCATGGAGAATGATCATTTCCCAAATAACCTAAAAATTGGCCATAGGAGCAATTGCTTCTGTCCATTAGAATTTGACAAAAATTTGACAAAAATTATTCAAATTAACTACCTGAAACAAAAGTACTTGTTTCTCTAGAGGGACACAATATGGTAAACAGATGTACATAGCATAATTAACTAAAACTCAGGGAGCTAGGTTAAAAATATTTTCTATTGAAAAGAAGAAGGTCAATAATAGGTAAATTAAAGGCTTTTCATATGTGATTCTCTTACTCTTAATAAAATCTTCTCTTCTAGTTTCCCCTAAGAGACAAGCTTCTTTCAAGCACTGTGATCACAGTATGACAGAAGGTAGCACAAATGACCAAATAAGATCTTCTATCATAAATTTGCAAGGAAATTCTAATGAGCCGCTCCCCCCCAACCCCACCCCTTCCTCTTTTGGTTAAAAAGCTCTTGCTTTTCTCAGACACAAGAGGAGAATGTTGATGCTCAGAGATGCAAACTGGCCCTTTAAGGCCTTTCCTCAGGAATTGTGCCAACATTTTTCCATTTACTCAGCAAAAGCGCCCTGCCTTTCAAGCCAGATTTGCATATGCCTTAGTTTGGGAAGGAAACATATTCATACTTATTTCACTCAAATTATAATAGTGTCACCCATAGGGTTTAAGAGTTTGTCTGCATGGACACTGCAAAATCCTGGTGACACATATAAAAAATTAACTTTACTAGATACCATTTATCATGAGTCTAATCAACCTATGTATTTCATTCCAAGGTATGACAACAATATATTTCCTCTTGATGTTGCTGGCACTGACTTGGATCATGGGCCTGCTCTGACCAGGAACAGCTCCAGAACAACAGGCACATGTTGGAAAACTGCGCTCAGCATAAAATTCCAGAAGTGGCACATTTCAACTGCTCCCTATCCTTTGGTCTTAAGACAACTAAAGAGCATCCAGGAATTTTATTTCAAATGTTCAATTTCATTCATTCTTCTGTGGAAAATTGCAGTAGTCATCTTCTGTGAAGTGATTTTAAATGGTAACTTCCTTAGCTTACCTCTCTTTCTAGAACAGCTACAAAGCAGCCACTGGAAATTTCTGATGGCTCCATTTTGAAAAAAATTTCAGTGGAAGCCTCTGAATTGGAGCAAGTAGAAAAAACAGGAGGAATAAGCCTGTAAAAAATAAACAAAATACCAGGAAATCATATTTAAGGATATAAAAGGAAATAAACAAGGATGCATTAAAAGTAATTTCCAAATATGCCTTTCAATGACATAGCTTAATTTTAAACAACTGCAATTCAGGAAAGGCATAAGAATTCATCTTTTTAGAAACAATGGGGGTCTTTCCATTTTTTTCAATAATTCACATTTTTTCCAATTAATGATATTAACCACCAGATAATAAATATGTATTATTATAATGAAAAACTTTATTCTTTCTCAGGTCTGCAATTACTGGATTATCAAGTTGTCCATGAAGTTGGGGAATGACCTGAAAACACTAAGCAGCTCAGAAATTGCAGAGATATTGACTTTGAGTTAATAGTATATGCTCATAATAAATAATATATCTAAGCTAAAAACCTTAGGTTAGCAAAATTTGCTAACCTAAAAATATTTTTAAAAATTGAGTGATGTTTTTACAGTTTTACAGTTTTGTAGAGCATCACTGGGGAAGAAAGAACTAGCCTTTTCTCATGTTTTCCTTGTATTCCAGGAACGCCTAGCTGTTATAAAGAGGCCCCAGGGACTTGGCTCATAAGGCTGCTAAACTAGTACTAAGAGGTCTCAGTATGGAAAAAACACTCTCAAAATGTCTTTTTGCAATTATAACCCACTTCCTTTTCACATTGCTGAGGAATATAAGATAGAGCCCCCCCTCAGTGCTCCATTAATCCTCTTGAGAGAGAGCTTTATTCAAAGATGGTTATGGAGAAATGCATATAATATTTGTAAGCAATATCCTGATTTGGCTGGCTAGTTCATTTGTAATGGAAAGTCTGCAAAACTGTTTGTTTCTAAGTTTCCACCATAATTTGGCTTTTTTTCTATGTGCCTTTGAACTTGATAAAACAGACTACAAGGCTCACATACTCCTCACATTATATGTCCTGTGACACAGGAGGTTTTTCATTTTACATCAGCTCACTCAATTAAAAAAAAAAAAGTGATTAATTTTTACTGATGTATACAAATTACTGTTAGCAGGAATCCCTTCAATGGATGGTCTGACCCTGAAAAATGATCCAGAAATTAACTCAATTTTGATACGCCAAAGAGAAATACATGAGTGGTTTAGATTCCTCTCTAAACACACCTGTTACAATGTGTACCCTTACTTAAGGTGAAGCCTTTGCTATAAACTGTCATATCCTTAAGGTAAACTCAGCTTAGCCTGTGGGTACATGTTTAAAATTACCCTTACAAGTGCACAGCCCTAAGACCAGCTGTATGATCCCAAACTCCAGCAGAGCCTTAATTTGTTCAGCACTACTCCAGTACTGCAGAGTAATTCCAAAAGATATAATGCACATAAGCACAACTGGTGTAAAAGTTTCTTGAAAGCCCTCGATTTTATTGGAAAAGGAAAATAATATTAAGTAGACCTGTGATGATCATACAGGATGTTTTATTAGTGTAACTTCCCTCTCAAAGACACTACTGTAAACACTGGGGCTAGTAATTCTGCAACAGTTTTTTTCATTCTATACTGCATTGTTTTATACTGCATTGTTTTGAGTAGGTTCTCTAATTAATTCTAAGGAAAGTGTAAAAGAAATTGTTGTAAGTAATACATGCATCTTAAATGGCTTGAGCCATATAAGACATCTTAAGACAAGCATAATCACACTATACATTTTATTTATGGTGTTCTATTACTGCTGGTTACCAGCAACTTTACTGTAGTGAGAACTGTGCATGAAAACATCCAAGATACTGCATAACAGTGCAGGAGAAACCAATTCTGAAATTGTTATTTATGGAGCTCAATCAGTCTTCAGTCACAAATTAGCTCAAGTCTGCCAAAATCCTAATGTAATTTTATTGTCCCTTTCTGACCATCTGAGATGGCCTTGTATTTGGAAGTAAAAGTATAATTTGGTGGTTTGACAAGTTTCATGATGTTTCTGCAAAACACTGAACAGATTTTGGTTTGGCTTTGAGGGAAGGGGAGGTGTTTTACACAAGGGGGAATTTTTTCTAAAATAATTAAAGCTCTGAGAACTTTTTAATACAAATTCTGTTATATGTGTTACAAGTGTATGTATTATTTGTGTTCAACTACTTTGGAGACCATTACATTCCAAGGTTCCCTGAGTTCTCCCCATAGTGTAATAGCTGCATAAAGATCAAGACATGACAGACTCCACAAAATTTCAAATTCCAAAGGAAAACACAGTTTACAGCAAGAGCCATAGATGCTTTTGGACTAGCATACCATCACTGGCAAGACAAGCCCTGATTTCATCCCACTTAATGTAAAAATTCAACCAGGCTAATTCAATTATCAGTGAATTGCAAAAAAGATACATTTTGTTGCACTATGTCTTAACCTTATGAATAATATATAACTTTTCAAAATTCTTCACACTGGTCACAGTTAACATTTACCATTTTAATCATGCAAAATTTAATTACACTGAATATCTTGAGCCACAGTACCTTTCCCTGCGATAACCAGTGTATTAACATCATCTAAGGTAATATAAAATCTAAAAATATGGTATTACTCTTCTGTGCTTTTGGCAACATACACTCTCTTAACCTGCATCCCGTAATCATCTATTGTATCTATGTGCAAGTGAGTGCCAACTGTTTGCATTTATCTATTGTGACTGAAAGGAAAATCCAGAAAGTACTCACCAGCCTTCTAACGATTTCTCTGTCTGACAGGGGTGACAGCTGACAGGTTTTAACTACATATAAAGTATACATAACACATACTTTTTTCATATAGTTGTATTTGTTATGATTGCACAGGATGATCTCTTACTGTAACCCATCCTCCCCACAAGTCATTCATCTGAATCCAGAGATGAGCAATCCTACAGCTAGTGTTCTTATTCTTCTATATTATTCTCACAATTTAAGATTTAATTCCTTTTTCCTTTGAAACTGATCATTCTAGGTCAGAAGCTGAAAGCATGCTAGCAAGTTCCCTGACTTCTAGTCTCCATTTTATCTTAAACTAGCTTCATTCTCTGAATACTGATACAATAAAAGCAATAGCTCTATCAGAAGAGTGTTATTTCCAACCAGTGATGGTTTCCTCCCATCTTAGTTTCAGGTGAACAAAACTATTAGATGAAAAAGTCAATAGAATACTGCTAAGTACTCTCATAAACATCAGAAAAAATGGCATGACAGGCAGCAAAAACTATTGTAAATATTAATTTAATGCAAGACACATATCAGTCTGGGAGATAAGAATTATGCTATAATTTAAAGTTATACTTTAATTTTTCCATAGATAAAACTACTCATTCCATACCTATATGGTTGTCCTTTATCTCCTTCCACTCCAGATTCCAGTGCTTTTTTCACTACTAGTTCATTTTCTTGTGGGTAAACTGAACAAGTGCAGTAAACAATAGCTTGTACTTTGTTAACTACAAAACAAAACAAATTTTCTACTGTTCAGATTCTTCATACAGACAGTGGCTTGGTAACGACTGAAAACATCACAAAAATTATGCTTGGATGTCACTTTTACCAATAAGAATATCCTCCTGCATGCATTAGTATGCAAACTCTAATGGTTTTTAATAATTAAAATGTTAAATATTTGCAGATCACAGCACAAATTCAAAGCTGTATCTATCTTTTCACACAGCTACAAAAGGAGAGGGGAAGGAAGTGGCAGCATGCAGATGGAGTCTGACTACATTTGCAGCATTTCCAAATCAGAGTATGACTAAGTCACAGTTCCATACACAATGCTGAAGACTGGTGAACACTAGGACACAGAGACACCTTCAGATTGGAGGTGATCATTATTCAGGGTTTTGGTTACATGCTTATTGTTAATTAGTAGAGTAATCCATGTATTTTTAACAATGTAAAAACTGGTGATAGTACAATGGAATCAATAGTACGAGGTCCTCCCAGAAACTGGAGAACTAGCACACTTACATTTCAGTGCATGAATCAACTCGTTAAGCTGCCTCTCAGCAAGAATACTGAGTTTATCCTCAGACACAAATCCCTGGAAAAGGTCTCGTAGCAACCCTGCATCTAAAAGTAGAGAGTTGTAAATTTAGTATTGCAACTTAGTGTCTTAAAATTCAGTTGTTTGCAGAAACAGACGTGGTTGTTACTAGTGCAGTTAGAAGGTAGGTTTTACAAATTAGAATACCAAGGAGTGCCTAATTGATTTGCTTTCCTTCTTTACCTGTAATTACTGGTGCCTCTTTTTGCTTCTATTTAATGAAAATTGTACAGTGAACAGACTTATACAAACAGTCAATAAAGGAATGTAAGCAAATGGAAAATAATATACATATTGGTATATTGAAATAAATTTTCTGCCTATAGTCTTTTTACTTTAAAAAAAATATATACATTCTGCTCCCCAGAATAAGCCTCAAACTTCATACTACCAACTTGAATCAGACAGAGAATTATGCAAGTTAATATATGTTTTATAGTAATTAAAATAAGGGTTTTTAAATAAAATGATACAATTTACTGAAGTACCTACACTGTCTAGACCACAATACTTGAATTTATTCATTTCTACCAGAAAGCATGAGCTTTTCTGTATCAAAAGCTACCTCTGTGTTCACTTAAAATAAACTCCATTGGATTGCCAACACCCAGTCCAGAGCATTGTGGTAGCAGCAAAATAACTTTTGCCTTTTGAAGTCTTCGGTCTGTTGGTTCAAGCTCAATAAAGTCTTCATGCAACAACTGAATATCTGCAAAATAAAGGAAGAACTCAACAGTTATGCATTGCAAGCAAGCCTACCTACAGGTGATACAATGAAGAGCCTGTGCTGTTACATAGATTTCTACAGAGCTAGAGCCTGCTAGACCCAGATCCTCCAAATTATAACCTGTGGATTTCAAATGGATTGAAAGGCTAACTAGACCTGCATCTTCCACTGAAAAGACAGCTGATGGGGTTGCAGGGTCTTGTTGCATTCTGTTCTGATCATGTCCTCTGCATAAACTGGACAAGTACATGTGTTTTGAATTAACACTCAAACAGCTGGAAATCAGACTGAGAGCAACAGCCAAAGCACCAAATAAATGGACCCAAAAGTTCCTAGCTACCAGCTACACCAACTGCTATACAGTAAGTACTTCTATGGAAAAATTCATCTTGACATTTCAGGAGCTTCCATGTATAACATGGTTAATCTGCAGCCTTCAATTAACTTGACTGTAGCTGAAGAGCTGTCAGCACACCTTGTGACAAAAAAAAGTTGTTACTGCCCTCGCCAAGTCTTCAAAGAAGAGATCGCTGAATTCAGATAGAATTATGCTGTATTTATAGATATCACAAACATCTGTATTACAATACTTTTTGCATACCAACTGTTTCAGCACCTACTTTCACATCCCATATGACTGAAAATATTCCTCAGTTCTTCTTCTTTTGCTGAAGATTTCACACCACAAACGAAAATTGTGGACATGCCATGATTTGTCAGCACTGACATATGGGCAATGGTCAGATAGGAACCTGTGTGAGCCACTATAATGTCATCACCTGCATTCAGCAGCGCCTGTGCAGAGTGTACTGCAAGGCTGCGAGACTTATCCTAGAAAACAATGACACAAAAATTAAGTACAACCATCTATTTTGGTTTCTATGAATGTCAACCTTCTTTTTCAAATTAGCAAAGAATTTAATTGTTTTCATAGGAAATGGGAAAGAAGGGAGGAAAAAACTAACCAGATAGCTCCTAACACAGAATTAAATAAAGTACAAATCCAAACAGTCACTCAATAAATTTAAATAACTTAATTCTAAATAATACATTAAAAAAGCATAATATCTCTACAGGTGAAAAGAGAGAATGCATATCATCCCCATGAGGGATGAAGAACTCCTAACAACAGCCAGAAAAGAACAAACATAGGCCGCAATTCAGAACAGGCAGAATTAAGAGAGAAATGCAAAACTATTCACATAGCTCTTGACAATCATTACAGGAGAAATGAAGTCCTTACAGATCAAAATTTTGCTGAAATCTGAACAACACAGAGCCAGATTGGAATGCAGAAAACACAGGGACCACTCAAAAGGAGTCAGTGGCCTCATACCAGGGGTGATTAAGAAAAATCATCTCCATCAAATTACTTAAAAAGGCAAGGAGTAAAGATACTGACCACAGGTACAAGGTCTTGCACCAAATCTGACAAACACTGATAATAAATGGAAGGGCGGGAAAACGCTGCTAAGCCTTTAAGTTCACATCATTGTCTATGTACTCACAGCATTCAAGCACCACCCTTCCCCACCAAAGAGACAGAGGTTTTGAGAGTTTTCTTTCCTCATTTTGAATACTTTTAAGTAGTAGTAGTCAGAATTTGTTCCCATCACCTATGAGGCTCTCATGTATTGTCCTTTTCTGTAAATCTTCTATTAAAAATATGCACACTGAAATTGAATATTGAATAGTGAATCACTATTTAAGTCAGGCAATGAATTTTGAGGCTAAAGTTTCCCGACAATGTTAAGCATCTAGTGAAAAGGCCCATTGAAATGTTTCTGCTAGGCACTCGAGAATCATCAGATAGTTCAGATAACTCGTGGTTGTGTGTTGTTGCATGGTTACTCCAAACCACTGCTCTACAATAGGAACTTCCAACCAATCTTGTCTGGAGAGTCTAATGACAGTAAGTCAGGAAAAAGACCAGTGGGGTTTATGGAGATCTAGGAACCACACTGCACAACATACAAAGAAGTGTGATCATTCCATCCCAAACATGCAGTTGAAGAGGAAGAAATACTACAATAGCACACCAATATCTACTAACTGGGGGAAAGCACACAGAGATACATCAGAACTTTCCTCACATTTTTTAGAAGTGAGACTGCCTCTTTGATCACTTTTTATATTTAATGTCAAGAGTTTTAAGATTAAATTTAAAACATTCTACTAACCTAATTGTACATATCAATTATAAGCATTGACATTTGCATGCTAAATTTAGTAAGTGAATGAGTTTGTAACCTTCTAATTACCAAAAATAACCAAAACCTTAGGAGGCTATGTTGCTACCTGACTGATTTAATAGGATAGTCACACAATACACGACCTCATTCTAATGCAAAGCAATTACTTCAGTTTGCAGATCATCTGACTCAAGGGTGACATCAACTCACCTGCAGTAAGAGTTTGCAATCTGCAAAAAGATCTAAATTAAGCAATTCTTCTTTAAGAGAGGAAGGAAAAACCAATACATCATGGCAATGTTGGTCCATGGCATATGTATAATGGTCAAAGTCTGACACGGATTCAACCTTTGTGAGTCCCTTCGTCTCCAAATCTCTGATAACATCTTCAAGGCTGTTAACACACAACTCTGACCATTAAATATGCAAGAGTTACTTAAGCAATATAGTTTACATTGATTATATGAATTTTTTACTTCTGTTAGTGTGTGCATACATATGCATACATACATAGGTACAGAATGCCATACTGCCTGTAGGAGGGGAACTTACCATATTTTAGGCATATAAGTTCTGGTTTGAAACAATTAAGTTAATAAGTCTGATAAAATAAATTAAGAAAGATGTACGTGTCTCCAGAGAATGATTCAAAGCATCAAAACAGAAATGTCCATGTGCTCAGGACACACTGTAGTAAATTTACTGCTGGAATGCTTTAGTTCTTTCAATTGTTTTCAATTTAGCCCAACTCACCAATGATTTTAATGGCTGATAACCAAAAGAATCCTTGTGTAAATGTAATGAAGGCATAACTGCTGAGGTTAGCAATTCAAATATTATAAAGATTTAAAGGTATATGTAGCAACACTTGTTTGTTGAACAGTGCCATAGCCTTATATGGTACATTAAATGTGGGATGAATGCAGCAGCTTTTAGTCCAGTCTTATTTAAGGGCTGCAAAGTCACAAACAGAGTAAGACACATTATCTTCTAAGCACCAAACACTGGTCCAAGACCAGAGTAGAAAAACAAAATTCTTGAAAACATTATAAAATGGATTACCTGTCTAACAAAACAGATAACAGGATAACTTGGTATGGTTTATGTATCAGTTAGTACAGAACTGGGAACACCAGTTATAGCGATGTATAGACTATATAAAGTAGTCTACAGAATATAAGAATTTTTAAAAGTGTGTTTTTATTTCAAGTTTACACCATCCTTACAGAATAAACACCAGTTTAAGTATTGTATCTGTCTCAACACCCTTTGCCAAGATTATGGCTTACACTAATACATCCACTTTTAAAGATGTTGCCTCTATCTTCTGTCATCAAGTTTACTCATCCATATTTTTTTTAACTTTATTTCCTTGGTTTTTTTGGTTAAAGACCCACACAGGCAACAAAATAGTAAGAAAAACTGTTTCACAACCTTGTTACAGGGGATGAATACCATTACTGCAATATATAAAAACTACAAGCAAACATAACACAATGGAACTGGACTAATCAGAATTTCCTGTAAGAATTTTAAATTACTGGTAAAAATATAACCTGAGAATTCTAAAACAAGCACGGAGCAACCTATATCACTTCATATGTAAAACATCAATACCAAATGATACTTTAAAGTCCTTACCTTATTTTAAATGTGTTTATCCAAACATAGAAAGGTAAAGCAGAAACTCTTTGTTCCTGCTTCCATATGGTTTCTGGTACAAAGTGTTCAATTGAAAGAGCATCGTATTTAATGTGACATCGTGCCAGCGCAGCTGCCGCTTTGGTCCTACGACTACAAAAACATAGTCATAAGTTTAAGAAGAACATTTCCTATCCCAGACAATGGTAGCTGCAAGGTAGTACTCCACAGCTAAGATTATTTCATTTAAATGCAGGTGGGACTGGAATTATGACAGGTGACTCTCAAATACATTCACTTTCTCAAACAGCTTAAAAAAACCCAACCCAATATACTTTGGAACTTCCACCCGTGGAATACAATCATGAGATTCATTCAAATGTTTGAAAATGTAAATACATACATGTATGTATTTGATGAGCATTTGATGAAAGCTGACCTGTTGTACAGAAATAACACCAACACAAGTATGATGGCAACCAGGAGTCAGAGAAAATATGCCCAGTCTTTTCTCCCCACAAGCTCTTGATACAGGATAATGCACAGCAAATAAAGATTGTTGGTGAACTACTTCAGATATATTACTTACTGCCCTCCAGCAATACCTTGCACTTAAGATATTCATGAACGTTTTGGGCTACTCTAAATCCAGCAACAGCACAATTTTGTCTAATAAATGCCTTTAGAGTTCCTCATCTGACTAACAAAATAATAAATATAAAAATGTTTATTTTATGTACCCTCTTTTTTGTTCTAATTTTTAAAAATAATAAATATTTAACAAAGTTCCATAATAGAAGTACTGCTAAATAGATGCATGTTATTCCATTCCATGACCTCTTGATTCTATTACACTCACACTTATGAACATTTACTGAATATTTAATTTCTCTCCTAAAACTGTATGATAAAAGTTTCAACAATGCCAAAATACGACAAGATGCTAGTAAAATAATCCATAATATAAGGATGGTTTGTTAGCTGTATTTTTCTTAACTATAAAAATATGAAAGTTCCCCTTCAAACTAGGCTCTCATTAAAAATTTAAAAAGGCCACAAGGTTTGAAAATAAAAGACATGCTTAATAACTATTATTAAAAGGTACTGGTTATACAAATCTGCATTTTTGCTAATATATATCAACAAAAAAAGCTCTTTGCACATATACCTATATAAATAATGCCCTATTTCCTGAACTTCTTCTACAGGTTCCTCTTCATCAAAAATCTTTCGTGCTTCAAACTTTCGGTCTTGTAGGTCATAAAGCATCACAACAAGCAAGCTGGTCAACTCATCCGGCTGCAACAGAAACGCATCTGGATAGCAAAAGTGACACAAAGTGTACCTTACTTCTGCAAAAAATCCATATCAAACAGCATTCTCCTGTGTAAGAGGCATTAAAAACTCCAGTGAAATGCTTATTTGTAAGGACACAAAAGTAATTCCTTATGGAGAGCTAATAAAACACTGAAGATTGTGGTTTTTTAAAACTCAAAATACACATTTTGTAAGTTATTTAGCTTATCAAATTAAAAACATTCTCCAAACACAGATAAAACACTACATCTTAACAACTTCTAATGTTATCAGCATTGACCCATTGAAATTGTTTTCTCCTTGTTAAGGAATTGAATAGCAAAGCTAACAAAAACTTCCTGTCTAAATTCATCTCTTGTGGGATTCTTCTGTATGTAGTAACCCATAAGCTCAATTGTAATAACTGTTCTGCTGTTGGGATTTATGTAAAATCTCCTTTCCATATCTAAATTTTTACATCAGGGAGCATCACTGCTTAAGGACAGTAATTAACAGCACTTCTGTTACTATTGTCTACTTCTTTCCATGAAATTCCTACAGTTATTATGCCTTCTAAAATGCTAAACTTCTCACAAATATGACCAAAATTAGTTAGAAAACTCAAGTTGTTAGGGAAATACCACCAAACACAGAATGTTAGCATGTAAGTCTTACTTCCTTACAAAAACAAGCGAAAGATAAATGTGTTGGATCATTTGCCTGCTCACATCAACCTCCACAAATAACATCAGTTCAAGTTCATCTTGCAATTTGCATAGCCATCTAAGACTAAACTGGAAGGAACAGCAAACTACTCTGTAAGGTCTAGAATTTCTTTTCATGTCAAAGCAGGAAAGTATGTTCAGAGAGTAACCTAGACCAATTTTTGCCAATACAATATTTGTATATAGTATGGTTTGCCCAGGAAATGAAATGTGGGTTCAATGCATTTTTTTTGTCTGATGGGATTCTCTCCCTGGTTTCTAACTCCCAAGGACAGGAAGGATACATGATTTTTTTTCCCTGCTCACAAGGGGACACAGATGGAAAGGAAAGCACATGGGCAATCTGACTGAGCAAGTACTGCCCTGCAGTAAAGATTATGGCTCTCTCTCCCACCTTCTTTCTTTGAAGGTTTTGATTCCCTTCAAAAGGTTGTACGGTGCAACAGAATCTCACAAACAACATACCTAGTACTTTGGAGACAGAGGCTTTGGACAACTATCTAAAACGGCCAGCAATATTTCAGTCTGAGGCTGTCATATAGTTCAAAACAACAAAGGTTGCTTTGAAGAGTGTTGCAGAATCCTCAGAAAAGATTCTAATTACATCAGTGTAGAAAATATAAAATTTATTTCCTCACAACAACATTCACTTACTATTGACTGGCATGGGTAAACACCACTATCTAACAATATTTCTTCAAGAAGATCTTGATCTGCGAAAAAAAGAAAATGCTGACAAGTTATGCTATGAAATCTACAAAATTCTAGGGAAGAAAAAGAAAACCTGATAAATCACTAAATTGTAAGTTTAAAACATCATGAAAATTAAGGGCAAATTCAATCATGAAGAATAGCAACTTTATATAATTCCTTTACATGAAAACGTATAGGGTTTAAATGTTTGATTTCACAAAAGGCTAATAACACTTAGCTATATTTAACTATTTGAGGCATATGAGTAGTCCTGTAATAACCTGCAGTTTAACAAAGAATTCCTCAGATCTCTGCTGTCAGAGATCAGCATGTTGCTTTTCTGTGTTTTCCCTGCTGCACCATTTCTGTTGGCAATTGTTGGAAAAGTTTTGTACTTACATTTTAGAGCACTGAAAGCCAGTTCATAAGATACACGCCTGGAATGCTCATCTTTAAAAGCTAGCACGGGAGGTTCTGAGTTATCGCCGTACCGCACCAGCATTTTATCCTTACTCTTTTCAGTACGAATGCCTTGAAAAATCTTAGCTGCATTCATGTATACAGAGTCAGGATAGCCATCCTTCTCAATCAGAGTCACTGTTCTTTTTGCAACGGATCCTTTTTCATCTGAAATTTTAATTTCACTCAAGTCCGACGTATCATTTATAACATCCTCATGTGAAGATACCAAGTTACTTTTAGAACCTGGCATTTTTCCAGTTGCTGACTGTGTAAGTGCAAGTCACAGTCCTGCTGCCTCTGCAAAAAAAAAAAGTTTGCACTGAATCATGAAATTTTCTTTTGCTAGAATAAATTTTCCCTTCATTTTCAGGTTTTCAATAAAACTTATTTTCTTTTTTAGGCACTAATGCTGCAAAAACATGTATCACCTATACTTGTATACATCTATCATCTTACAGTATACAGAGAAGTATTTATAAGTTTTCTTACCTTATTTGTTTTCACCAATGCCAGTGCAAAGACTGTTATTTGTTTCAAAGAAGTCAGTGCTTCACAATAAATGATCTTAAACAGACTGTACAGGGAGATCTGATTCTCTGTGTCTAATAAGAAGCATTAGTATTGTGGACAGAATAGAATCTCTTACTAGGAATTCTCTTTTAAGAAAAAAGACACCACTGAAATTTCAAAGCAGACATCATATCTTCCAAAGAAAAACCATCTTGAAAAGAGTTGCAGTGAATTCCAAATGTTTGTCCACTAACTTCCACATCTGTTCTTAAAAGCAGAAAAGAGAGATCACCTAAGTGTTACATATTTAACACAATACCTAAACAGCAGAATTTTAAATGCAGGAAACCATTCTGAGAGTTTCTGAAGGTATTATCCAACTCTCCATAATCCCATGTGCATTTCTTAAATTCTCTACACATCCTACATAAACAATAAAATAAAAACTACCTTCCCCAGAGATGGAATGGGGTTTCAAGAAAAAGAAAAATAAAAAGGCCCAGTGTTAGCTGAATGCAGAAATATGTTAAAGTCCCACGTAAAACACACCTAAAGTATTGGATTTACTCTACTTGCTCTGGTTGTTATAACATGCTTTTATGATAACACTGGGAGGTGTTCAGAAGAAGGCTAAGCCAGAACAAATTTAAAGATAGAATTAATATTTATTTTTTTTAAAAATCAAACTAGTCGTAATGTCTGGGGAAGAATAATACAAGAGAACTGTGAGGAACTTAGCAGCTTTAATACAGAAAGTCAGGCATGGATCTGGTGCTGATAAATATTTTAGAACTAACAGCATAAAACAGCAGATTTTGGGGGGGTTGCCAGTCTGGGGGGAAAAAAAAAAAAAAGGTGATACTCTGATCAAATGGAAAGTATCTTCCTTTTGCTACATAATTTAGTTCAGCAGCATTCTCAAGCTTTTACCCAACACCCCTCAGGGTAAAATACATACTTCTCAGGCCAGACATACTTGCTCAGCACGCTTTTTTTTCCTCTTCCCTTTCCTGCCCACCATCACAATAAACCATAGTGGCAACACTGGATGGCAGCACAGAGTTGGAGGGGAAAGAAGGAATGCAAGTTGTTGCTTTTCCAGCAGGCAGCCATGAAATGCCCCATACTGAGCCAGCACTCCCCCATTTGAACTCCCTTTCCCGAACACTGGTGACACTCAGCCCATTTCTCCCCTCTCCAAGACCAGCACAAGTCAGTGTCCAACCAGCCCAGCATGCTCCAGACAATGGACCAGTGTTCCTTCCTGAATTCTGGCAGCTCACCTGGAGGAGGCCACATTTCATTCTCCTTCCCCAGGATTTGCTCTCCAAAACTAAGTACTGCTAACACTATCAAAGCAATTATTCCCATTTCTTTACAAAGGCAAATAGTTTCCTCTGGTGGGAGCTTAGCTCCAACATCTCTGGTGTTAGATGCAGCACTGATGAATCCATGGAGCAAACTTGTATGAAGCTATATTGAAACAGAACAAGCAGTGTTATCAAAAGAAAACACTATTCTTCACTAGAATAAAGTACCAGATTACCTAAACCAAACAGAAACTCTTGTGCTTAGAAAAGAAAAAAATCATAAATACTTTCAGGGTCTTTTAAACTAATTTCACCAGCAAACTTGTATACGACTTCACAGAAACATGGACACCATCTAAAGGGACCTGGAACTCGAACCCCTTCTCCAGGTGAACATAAATATTCCTGCTTAGAATATGTAACAAGTGAACTATGTCTGTGGTGTCAGGACTTTGAAGACTTGAAGAGTTCCCAATTACTCTTTGTGACTTCTTTGCCACAGCCGACTTTGCTGAGCCACAAGATACACTGATATTAGGATGATGTGATGAATATACTTTTCCAAAAGATAAATGTCACCCTAACAAAGATGAGATGACAGTGTTCCGCCCTGTGCAGATACACTGCACAGCTGCAACACCGTAAATCACTGCCTGGATTACTGAACACTGTGCCAAGCAGAGTACACCAAGTGTGATTAATATGAAGCTCAGCTGGGAAGAAGAGCTTCTCAGAGAAGAGAGAAAAGATCCTGTCTTTGTTTGTGGAAGAAATGAGTCGGATCTCAAGCAGATTATGCAGCTGATGGGGAAAAAACCTTTAAAGGTCCCAAGGAAGCTATCACACTACTAAAACAGAATGGCCTTCAAAGTTCAGAAGGATTTCTTTTTCACTGTTTAGTTAAGAAATTTTTCAAATGAAACATGAATCTGTTGTGTTACGGGGTCACTAAAGCAGATGGACATATAATGTGAAGACAGAAAACATAAAATAAAAGTTTATAATATTCCTGAGTCATACACACACTAAATCAACCTTATTTGGACCCAAATCCAGCATCTCTCCATACAGTCTTAGCACACTGATTCCATGTTAAAAATATGTACATACTCTCTGTGATCTGGCTAACTAGAGGTAAAAAGCAAACACTTGTTGTGGCAATAAAGTTTCCAAGTTCCTGCCAACGTACTTCCATACTGTTTTCCTTAAGCTTGATGAAATTTACAAGTTAGAGTAATAATAGGGAATGCAAAAGAAGGGAACTTAAAGACATCCATGACTAAGATTTAGGTAACAGCTACTGGGCAGCTGTTCTCCATGACACCTAGAGTTCCTGTGGTAAACAGCACCTATCTCAGGACGATACTGGTTGTGAAAGCACAGAAAATAGACAAGAAAGTTTCTCCCCACTTCTGCTTCCAAGTCACAATCCACTAAATTCATGACAATGATCAGGACTACTCACTGTTAAGCACAACAGTTCAACAAGCACTACCAGTAGCATCCCAAGGAAAAAGGGGAGCTTCTTTCTTACCTTATCTGTGCAAAGGATGTACAAAACTCTCTTCCAATCACAGATGCAGACAAACTCCCATAACACAAATTACTGTATCCACATACAAACAATAAAGATAAGAAGACTGCAGATTTCAAATAGCAGAGTGCGAACTAGGGGTGAGACTGGGGAACTAAATTGGACTATACTGCTTTAAAGTCAGGCAGTGTGAGGTACGAGGCCTGGAGGCATTCACATTTCTTCCTATCTTTTTTACACCCAAAGATTGAGCGGAGCTCTCAGCTGCTCTGATAGGCTCTGTGTTTGAAGCATTCAACACATCTAAGATTAAGCCCACAGGAAATCCACTGGAAGAACACCTGAAGAGAACATGGGTGAGAGAGAACAAAGACTTTATGCTCATGCTCTGAGAAAGCTCTTGAACAAGATGTTTTAGTTAACCTTTTATTGACTCCCTGGACGTGGCTCCTCACACACCAACAAACAGTAAATCCTTGACAGCCATATATAGACACGGTAGTTTTTGTCTTACTAACTCTATGGGTACACATGACCCCATAAGTCTCCTAACATCAATTGCAACTGTCTGACACAGAACTCCAAAGCCTCTGCTCTCCCCAGCTACAGTCAACTAATCTGGAGGGGACGGGAGATTAGTGAGCCAGGAAAAGAAGTCAGCCATGAGACCATTCCCCAGCTCCGCTTTACTTAGGAGAAACAGCTCAAGTCGACTCATAGGACAGATGTACAGCAGCTAAAAAAAAAAAGGAAGAAAAAAATGGAGAGGGAAAAAACGCTACTTCTTTGTATAAACAGCCAAAACGTTCCGAGATTGCCTTCCCTGGGCCGGGACCTCGGGGCTCGTACCCGGCCAGGCCGCTCCGCCCGCGGCCCCTTCGGGGCGCTGCGGGACAGAGGGCGCTCCCTGGGGCTGCGGGCACCCCTCCTCGCCCATGCCTGGCAGGGGCTGCCCCACGCCCGGCAGGCAGCCGGACCCCGGCCGCCCCGCCGGCGGGGCCCGCACGCCCCCGCTCGCCTCACCCCCGGCCGAGCCGCGGCCCAGACGCACCTGCGGGACCGCTGGGGTGGGGAAGGGGCGCCGCAGCGCTGTGCTCCGGGGGGGGTCCCCCTGCCCAGGCCCCCCGGCCAGCCCCCTCTGCCGGGCCGGGCATGGGCTCAGGCCCGGGGGCCGGGGGGCGGCGGGGCCGGAGCCGGAGCCGGAGGCAGCGGCGCCGCTCCCGGCCGGCGCCGAGCGGGGCCTGGCGGCCGTGCTCCATCCCCAGCGGGCAGGCCGAGCCCCTCACTCCCTCAGGATCCACCGGGAGGCACAGGCAGCCTGGCAACGGCTCGCCCGGGGCTGGGGAGGGGGAGTGTGTAACACACAGGTGTTTCCCGAGGTTTCCCTGAACGGACCTCTGCGAAAATCCATGTCGCAGGAGCAAGAGGTGCTCCCACGCTCCCTTTGCAGCTTTGGTTTGGTTTAAAAATAACCAGAACACAGCAAAAAACAAACAAACAAAAAACCCAAACCAACAAAAAGCCCAAATGGCATTAGTTCTTGCAAGCTCCATGACCATGTTTAAAGACAAATGTTACTGACATTCATATTTGTAACTCCATCGAACCCTCGCCAATTACAGGACTGGAAATCTCCCAAGCACGGCAATAGCCCCAGATAAGGTGCTGGGATTTCACTTGCGCTTGAAATTAGCTGCATGGTGTTACCTTACACCATAGTCTTGTAATGTTTTAGCTGTCTCAACCTCTACTTTTGAGAGTTTGGAAGCATAATTGGAGCAGGCTTTAAAGTTGTTTCCAAAAATTTTATTTAAAAAAAAGGCTGTAGTTGAAATTATGCCAATAATCAATGAGCCATAACCTTGTCAGAAAGCTGCTTTTTCCCTATAAACTTTGTTCCTGTTACATCAGTGCTGTCATGGACAATCTTTAAATTCTCCTGAAAAAGCAAAAACCCCTGTGATTCAGTTAAAATCTGTAATGACTTTTGGTGTGTCATTTCTCCAACACAATCCTACCTAGGACCTCACAGAAGAATCTGTAGCAGAGCTGCACAAAAGCTAGGTGATCAAGGCTTTGGTCTAGGTTGGCTGCACACTTAGTAAAGCTCATTATAAACCTAAGTACATATGTGCTTTTACAAATTGTGGGATTGC